ATCATCTGTAACGTTTTCTGATGTTATTTTAATATTTCTGTACAACAATTTAAATAAATAATTTCATTTCCTTTGTACAACTAAATGAGGGTTATATAATTAGAATATAAAAAGGTTAAATAGGTTTGTTATCACATACAGTATCAAACTTATGAAAAAGATTTATGAAAAGATGTGCAAAAATAGATTGTGTAGTTGGTAGGTAGTAATGACCTTTTCACACTACTTCATCATTGTGCGTGTCATTAGCTATATAGTTCCCCAAGTTATTTTGTTTTTTTTTCATTTGACCCTCTAATTGAAGTTATGTCACGAGTCAAACAAACCTAATTTTCCGTTTACTATTGCGTTACCGAGTACCGTGTGACAGTATGCATACTAATACATATTTTCCATCCACAAATATTAATAAATAATTATATTTTATATAGCTACTATACTTTTAATGATGGCGGTTTCGGAATCATACGAATTAACAATGATAGGGTAGTCAACAGAAGGTTCATTCATGTTTATAAATAACGGTAGCGTATTCGTCGTGCAAAACTTTTTCCATTTACATTTACTTCAATATAAATTTATTAATCCGATTTTAAAAGAAAGGCAATTTTCTACCTTAAAAGATCTATTCAAACACATCTTAAAACTACGGAAGCAAAATAGATTGCCCCTTTTTTTTAGATATATTTAAACCAGTTTAGATTAGTTCCCTTTTCGTTTCCTTAAAAACCAATTAATAGTGTTTCCTAAACAATTGTGTAGGGTTCAAAATGAAAAGATTTATCAATAAGAAGAATCACTATGACGTGTAGGATATTAAGCATGAAATATAAAAAATAATTAGAACAATGTACTAATTTGGGTATGTGTTTATATTTTACCCAGAAATAGAAAAGCTAAAACACGGAGAAAATAGGAGAAAGGAGAAAGAAAAATTGCTCCACTATAAAAGCCTTTTGTTGCTTCACAATAACTGTGACTTACTGTCCTGCACGGTATTGTTAGGCCTGCAATCTACTTTGAAAAATATTGAACCGTTAAATTAAAATTAGTTGAATTAATAGTGTTGTTTGTATTTATTTGTTTTTTATGCAACAATACGTGTTTTACATTAGATAAAGGTTGCTATGAATCTTAACTTCTTGGGTATTTTTATAAAACATCTACTGTGGCGAAATGTTTATTTTCACCAATGATAATAATTCATTAGTGATTATAATCACCAACTAAAACTAGTTAGTTTTTTATGTTAAGTTTATTAGTTGAGTGTATACCTTCATAGCATACAGAGGGAAAATAACTGTTTAGTGACGTTTTCTTATAAAGTTGAAAAATAGTGTATTATTTCTCATTGATAAAAGCAACAGGTAGAGAGGTACGAATAATATACAACTAGGCTACAAAAGCTTCAATTTAATCTCGCATAGTTTACATTTGTCTCCAAGTTCTGCTATAAATAGAAACCCCTACTGAAAGCCTCCTAAGTACATGTGGAGGGATTAAGCCCTTTTCGAGTTTGATGGTTGGTTTAGGGTTAAGGAGGCAGTAAAACTGATGTAGTCCTTGACCTTAAATCCTAACATCCGCCGTTCTCTGCTAACTCCCTCTCTTCACCCTTCACTTAATGATTCTCCGTTTTTATATTTCTAATGAATTACGTATGTTCTAATCTGTTCTACATTATACAGGGTGTTCAAAAAAGGTGGGTACATAATTTACGTAGTAATTCCTTGGGTCAAAATCAAGAGAAAATCAAGAATAACATTTATTTTCCAAAATCACTTCGTTAACCAGATATTCGGCATTTCGTATTTTTCACATAAACATTTTTATTTTTGAATATTTTTGCAGCCGATCTTTATGAAACTTGGTATGTATGTTAAGGTAGAAGAGACCCAGGATATAAAAAACATCATCTTGATTCAATTAAAAATTTTAAAATGGCGGCCATTTTAATTTTTTAAACTTTACACAAAAACGGCTGATTTGATGAAAAAATGCAAAGTACACTTTTATTTTTAGCATTTTCAAATCGCTATCAAACTATGCCAAGTCTAAAAAGGTTGAATCAGAAATAGCTTAAATATTATGATTTTTAGTTGTAAAATTGGGTAGAATAAGGCTAACTAAGATAGTTCGGTTGGCCCCATTTTATAACTTAAAATCGTAATATTTGAGCTATTTCTTATTCAATCTTCTTGACCTTAAAAAAGAACCAAGTTCAAGAAGATTTTGAAGTTGAATAGTTGTCTACTATGTGTTTCTTCTACCTTAACATACATAACAAGTTTCATAAAGGTCGGTCGAATAAATTCAAAGATAAAAAAATTGTAATGGAAAATACAAACTGGCGGATACTGGTTAACGAAGCGGTTTGGGAAAAAAATGTATTCCTGATTTTCTCTTTATTTTGACCCAAGGAATCACTCCGTAAATTATGTCCCCATCTTTTTTGAACACCCTGTATATTAAAAACTATTTTTGTTTCCAACAACAAAACAATACTTTAATTTCTTTCTTCCCAATTTTACTCTTAAAATTTTTTGTCTTGAGTTTGTAAACAACTATAAAAATCTCACTATAGATTATTAACCAGTTTTTTTATGTATGTATAGCAGACCTTTTGTTAAATAGCATCATTGATCGATAGCCCAATGAAAAAAAGGCATCAGGGCAGAATCTATCACGCTTTGAGATCATGCCAGCATGTTTGAAGGCAAGAGCTACAACTACTTGGATATTTCCAAACCAAAAACCAATAACCAATAAAAAATCCAACATTTGTGGTTTTTATTATTACAATGGACTGGCTCAGTGCTTACTTTCAAAGCTCAACCTCAAAACATTCGGACGTCCACGAGGTGTATACCTACGAGATGCATTTACCTTTAATTGTGTTGGTGGAACAATATACTTGCATTGATTCATACACGAATATGTGCATTTGTGTACAATTTCAGACATGTTGTAGTCCAAGCAAACTAAACAAACTTACATAGGGATCGTTAAAAAAATTGCAAGAAAACGTTTTATGGTTTTATTTTGTAGAGTTGGATTTGCAGAATGACATACTAAAAGTTGTCAAAAATCGGTGCACGAGAAAACCACTAAAATCACAATTTAAAATGGCGGCTTTTTCCAACATTGGACAAATTAAAAAACATATTTCACATGCGTTTGTTATGCACATTTTTCGAGACATTGACTTGAGACCACCGCCTGTATTTATTGGGTGGTTAGTACTTCATTTTGATAGGGAACATGCTTTAGGCCGCCATCTTGGATCCGCCATATTGGACATTGATAATTTTTTTTTCAATGTAATGATAGTGTTGTGACACATCATTACCAACTACATTTGTACACTGATTTCAATGCCGAAATCCGTTTTTAAATATCTTTATTAATTTAGGTGATATATTCAAACGAAAACTCTCCACCATACATTTTTACTTTCTCCCCCTATACCATAGTATATGGAGAAAGTATTGTTTTCGTCAAAATTTTCGAGTTTGAGTTTTGAGTGGATATATCCGTTTTGGGTCCCCCTGGACCCAAAAAAGTGGTTTTCAAAGTGATGTCTGTGTGTGTGTGTGTCTGTGTGTGTGTGTGTCTGTGTGTCTGTGTGTCTGGATGTGTACAGAGCTAGGGACTACACCTGTGGTCCGATTTCGATGAAATTTGGTATGTAGGTTCTAATCCATGGTATCTCCAGGTGTTTTTTTCATTTTTTTGAAATTTTGATTTTTAATGGGGATTTTCCCATAAAAACCCATAAAAAACCGGAAAAATCGGATTTTCTCGAAAATGGCCCGAACGATTTTGATAAAAATGTAGTATGCTGTGGCCCTTTAAATTCTGAACAAAATGGTACAAATCCCATTTCTGTAAAAATTACGGTTCAAAAGTTATGGTAAATTATGTTATTTTCCCATAAAAACTCCATAAAATAACGAAAAATAGGATTTTAGAAAAAAATCCGGTTTTATTGTAACATAGTATGTTATAGTCCTTAAAATTTTGATAGTTTTTTCATTTTTAAAATCGTTTTATTTTTAATGGGAATTTTCCCATGAAACCCCATAAAAAAGCGGAAAAATAGGATTTTCCCAAAAACGGCCCGAACGATTTTGATAAAAATTTTGTATGTTATAGTCCTTTATATTCTGAACAAAATGGTACAAATCCCATTTCTGTAAACATTATGGTTCAAAAGTTATTGTAAATTATGTTATTTTCCCATAAAACCCCATAAAATCACGGAAAAATCCGATTTTCACAAAAATGGCCCGAAAGATTCTGATAAAAATTTAGTATGTAGTCCTTTAAATTGTGAACAAAATTGTATAAATCCCATTTCCGTATATTTACTCTCACCGCTTACACATGATAAAGGTTGTTGACAAACTAATGGGAGAAAGTATGTGTCAGAATGCTGATACCGTTTATTTATGGACGTTTCGTAGTTTGATAATTGTTTTAAAGTTATTTTTCTTATATCTCCAGTTCTTATTGACGCTCGTAGTTCGTTCTAGGCTTAAAATATTCAGTAATCTAAGGGCTTTCATTTGAGCTCTTGATCATTAAAATCAGACGAGTTAAAGACCAGCTACGAACCTCAGAACAATATTAAATTTAACGTTTTAGAAATATATTTTTATTAAAAGATTTATAACTCGGGTTGTTAATACGTCACAAAGTTATTTTTGGTCTCAAATTACTGCATAGTGGTTTTCTCGTGCACCGATTTTTGGCAACTTTTAGTATGTCATTCTGCAAACCCAACTCTACAAAATAAAACCATAAAACGTTTTCTTGCAATTTTTTTAAGGTCATATCCTATATTTCTCCGACTATTGGTCCTATTTTCTGTGCTGAACTCTAGCAAACAGGAACACCAACACAAGTTACCGTCACACTACCATATTATCATAGTGATTATATCACACAAACTGTGTAATAATAATCAGTATCACTCATTATATACGTTGCTTCTGCAGGTGGAGTTGGTGGATGTGCACTTCGGCACTGGTAGTGATGTTCTGCAGGACCCGTATAGGTTTGCCGATCAGTTGGAGGAGATTCGTCAATGCCAGCAGGTGTCAAGAGGGTGCTTCTTCCTGGTAAATATTTGTATTATTTCTTGTAAAATTCATATAAGTCATTGCTGGAAAGTAAATCCTCAAGCAAAATCTCAATATTAAATTGCAAGGATGTACAATATATGTAACGTACCACGTAACTGTTATTTTGTCCTTAGTCATATTTCATACGGTATAGCTCTACATAGAGCAGCAATGAAGGAAAGCCTAGCTGAAATCCTCGTTTTGTGTGTGTTTTTTTAACGGGCATAAAGAACAATAATCGGACTAAATAATAATGCTTATGTAAAGATTTCATTAAAACGAAAAAAATACTAAGGGTCGTCTATTAGTTTTAAATATAATTTTAGTTCGTTAAATTCCACATACCTGGTTAGGAATCTCTAGTTTGTGAATCACTGTTGTTGCATTAAATGAAGAGGTTAACATTGTGTTAAAAAGTTAATCTGTGTTTAGAATTTATTTTACCACCGCTGTGGTCAGTTTTTTTGGGTGTAACGCTTTATTTTAGACCAGCGCAACACATGCAGGAGTTCAATAAAAAATGTTTAATACTAATGTTTTAGGAATGCAACTTTTAATCTTAAAATATATTGTATTGCAAATTGATACTATCCATAAATTAATTTTATTATCCTGCAGGTTCGTGAACGTAATGACTGTCGTAATGTATGTCTTAATAAAAGTTACTACAAATATAGACTCTTACCACGGAATTTCTAAATCTTACTGATACATTTTATTTCAAACAAACAAAACGAATAATTTATTCTTTTGCTTGAATGTAATATACATTTATAAAATGAGTCGTTGAAAATGTCCCTTTCATGAACAAACGTTTTAAAAAGTGTCAACAACATTATGCTGAATACATTAAGACTGCCGTCAATTCCTTGCGGTCAACATTAGTCTACCTACTTCTTAACACTTTGTGGTGTTTCAAAGGCCTATTTGTTTTCAGAAATATCTCTGAAGTCTAAAATGGGAAATTGTTTGCTTCTTGGTCGTGTTTGTTTGATAAATTGAACTATAATATATCATAAAATGTCTTGACCTTTTACAAGTAATGGCAGAATCATGAATAAAATAACGACAGTAAATTACCAAAATAATTTGAGGTCGGAAAAGAGTTAGAGTTCAGTAATTAATCTGGTACAGTATAAACATAATAAACCTTATTCAATACATACCAATTATCACTTTCTAAATCTAAAACACCATTGTATAACACAGTTTACACCAATACAACACAATTAGGACCCAATTGAGAGTACTGTATTGTTAGTTTGATATTCTGCTTCGTGTTATAAATATTGCCTTCAGAGTTCGTTTTGGGGGAAGACAATATATTTTTCCTACAGTCACCCGACAAAGTTGGCTTCCTTGTACTGTTTATAGTACAGAAAGCTGCTAATTGCTGCATATTTATACTTTGCCGTACGGTTTATACTTTGTCGTACGGTTTATACTTTGCCGCACATCAGGATTCCAACGAAACAACACAAAACAGCGTGGTTCTACTATGCACGTAATCCGTGTACGCTTGGAAATAGGTTGGCAATACTTAAAGATAATAATACTATGAGCAGCTGATTGACTATTATAACTACGATTTAACCTGTCATTTCGTGTTTATAGTTTCGGTATTTCTAAACTTTCTGGACTTTTATTTTAAACGTTTTTAAAACATTCCTACGATCTTAATAAACAAGAAAATAACTTTATAGAATTTTTTTAGGCGCGGAAACCACTTAAAATTACAAAAACATACGGAACTATATTCTCAAAACGTGGAGCATATTTCTTGCCGAGGAAAAATAGCAGAGTGATACGGACCGTGGGTACTACTTTCTCTAGGGCACCATTTGTGTTGCCAGCTGAACCTAAAAACGTGTTGTATAGTGTTTGAAAGACTTATTATTTATATGCTTTATAGTGACTGTAGGAAAAATATAATGTGTAACACGAGTGAAAAAGGCCTTTGCTGCACTCGAGATCATTCCGCACTCGCCTGCGGCTCGTGCGTAAACATTGCTCTCGTGTGCAGCAAAGTGCCACTTTCACCACTAGTTACACAAATAACTATTTCCTACAGTCACCCGACAAAGTGGGCTTCCTTGCACAGAAAGCCTTAATTTGGCACAAAGTTTTTTCTTTGGTGCACACCAGTATTCCAACCAAACAACACAAAACGGCGTGCTTTTATTATGCACGTAATCCATGTACGCTTGAAAATAAGTTGGCAGCACTTAAAGATATTACGACTACGATCAGCTGGTGCAGCGTTTCCCATTTCGTCTAATGTTTGGATTTAACCTAACCTAAAAACGTGTTGTACAGGTTTTGAAAGACTAATTATTTATGTGATTTGTAGTAACTATATGCAAAATATAATGTGTAACACGAGTGAAAACTGCCTTTGCTGCATTCGACAAACTTTCCACTTGCCACTTCGCCCACTAGTTACACAAATATCATCTTTGATGAATCGTTGGCTCTGTCTGTTGCGCGTCTGTATGGGACCAATGCAGCGATGTCTAGGGGTTTTTTTCAGTTCTGCCACGAAACTTTACCAGTACGGTTCAATCTTTTACTACACTGACTCACCCTTTTTTTGTTGTTACGTGCTATTAGGCATACGTGTGAATGAGATAATTAAAGGTAAAACAGACCGCCAACCACTTTAGAGAAATAGACTTGAGGGAGTCCCGCTTAGAGAGGGTCATAGGTATAAAAATAAATAAAAATATTGCACTTGAAAATGGAAAATTGATATAGTAATTCAGGGAATTGGTGAAATTACCATTTCCCTTCCAACATCAGCATAGATATTGCCCGATTCTCTAGGGAGTCGACCCTATCTAGACTGTCTGCTCCAGACTTGGAGGGTACTTGATAAACTTGTTGTCGACTTTTGATTGATTAGATAGAGGACTTGACTCTACCAACCAGAGTATCTTGGCAATTTCTTGTTCGTTGGTGACTAGGTTTCTAAAGTGTTTTAGTAAAAGATTTATGGTCTAAATTTGGTGCATATTTAGAGATTTCAACAAATCTCAAGGCATGAAAAGTGTTCTTAGCATCTCTAAAAATGTTACAGCACTTGATTAAGATCTGAGTAAATTAATATTAAGTTTGAGTTCATTTTTAATTTGTTTATAACTTACCTTTCAATTCAGTGATATCGTTAATTTTAACAATACGAATCCTTAACAAACTTTCTGTAATCCTTTTTATAACGTTTTCCATACTTGTTATTAAAATACTGCTCGTTAGATTGATAAAAAATAATGTCCTTCCAAATCACTAGGACTGGCTCAAAAATAAGGGGTTGTAATATTCAAAAAATCAATATTCAAAGTAATAGTAAAAAAATTTAAGTCTTTCCAATATAAACAGCCAGAAGTAAAATTTAACAAAAAAAATATTTTTGAAACATGACTTTGGTGGGTGAAGAGAAGGGAAGCATATGGACAAGTAATGTAGTTTATAGCACATTCTTGGTATCATTTGCAGCAGACATAACTTTTTATGGAGCTCTAAGTCTGGGATTTACAGCTGGTTTACATTGTGTATGGAGTTACAGTCATACTGGGTTGTAAAAGAAGTTGCATCGCTGTAGAGGAAAAGATATAAGTAAACAAAAGAAGGACCTTGTAGACGGCTTAGCTACCAAATTGTGTTAACAAAAAAGTCTGAATTATGATTAGATTATTCAAGTTTGATTATTTTACGAGAAAAAAATCTGCACCAATTACAGTTAAAGTGGAATTCCTTTTACAGTACGAGTACATTTGTAATCCTTGCCAAGTAATCCAAATATCACCGATTCAATCCAAAGAAAAGTCAGTTGCTTTTGATGGATTGAAACTGGGCCTTGATCATCCAGCTTTAAAAAATTTTCATTCATTAATAAACAGCTGACCTTGGACAGATATGAAGGTACATTAAAGCTTTTCTCGCCATTCTACTCATTCTTCATTCATATTTGGGTTGAAACACGCCCTTTAGCGTCCCTGTCTTAATAATAATATTATAAACGGCCTTAAAATGTTTGCAATAAAGTTTACTAAGTTATGTTCCAAAATGTCAACTATTTTATAATGACTTCATTGTATCACATTTTTTTATTATTTACACCGTTTAACATGGATTACATGAATACATCTTGTAAGGTGTATATTTTTCCTACGAGTAACTTTAACTCAAACACCCCTTCACTGATGTTCAACCCCTTTGCTCTTATATAGTCGCCTTGGTTACGCTAATCGTTGATCCTTCAGCAGAAGTTCGCGAAATGTTGCAAAGCAAAGTTCACCTAGCATAACTGCACAAAAGGAAAGGCTTAAGAAAATTCTACGTAGGTTACTGATCTTCTCCTTTGTCGCCTTAAAGGCAAAAGGATTGACTATGGGGTCAAACTGGGAATTGGTCCTTAATTAAATGAGAACCACTTTGTTAGTTGACTATAAGATAGCAACGTTATAACATAAATTGTATTGATTGGTTTATACATAAAATTAAAGAAATGTAATCACGGAACCGTCTTGTGTATCACTACCAGGGGTCTTCTGAAGCTATTCTTTTCACTAACACCAAATTATATTTTATTTACAAATCTATATATGCACACGGCCCTTGGTACCGGGGTCAGTCCGAGCGAACGTCAAAATGGGAAGGGATGAAGGGAATGTACGAAGGACGAGGAATCAATTTCTACTTTTAGTGATAATTGTAACCTGATACCTACAACAGTCAACAAATATAATTCTTAAAAATTAATTAATAAGGGTATTATTGCATACTACTGTTACCTCACATAAAGGTAATAAATTTCTACTTACATAATGTACCTATACAATAATAAAGACGAATGTATTGTAGTTAAAAACAATTCAAGTTATTCAAATTCCTAGTAGGACCACATTTTCGTTCCTCAAAAAGATATAGGACTGATAAAATAATGTACAATTTTGATAAATGAGTTTACCTTCTTACACCTATATAATTAGCCTACAGAATAAGTGTAAATATAACACTATTGTTGGAATAAGGTACACCTTTTATTTCATCTCATCAATCAAGGGAAAAATTTTAATGTGTTTTGAATTAATAGCGGATTACATTCTCCCCCATAAATAGTAAAATGAGAAAGTGTTTTTTCGTTCAAATTTTTTGAGTTTGAGTTTTGAGTGGAAACATCCGTTTTTGACTTCCCCCCCCCCCCCCAATCAAAAAAAAAATGAAGGGGTTTGAAGTGATGTGTTTGTCTAATAATCCATGGTATCTCCAAGCGTTTTTTTTAATTTTTTGAAATTTTACTTTTTAATTGTAATTTTTTGATAAAAACCCATTAAGATAAAATAGCGGAAAATAGTCTCAAAAAACGGCTCAAAGGATTTGTATTAAAATGTTGTGTATTACAGTCCTTTTAAATCTAAACAAAATTGTACAACTCTCATTGCTGTTGAAATTACAGTTTACAAATTATTCCAGCTTTGTTGGTTTTACCCTTTATATACCATAGTTACACCCACCGCTTGTTCATGATAAGAGTTTTTGACGAGCTAATGGTAGAAAGTATATGTCAGATTGCTGGTACAGTTTATTTTATCCTACTAATATTATAAATGAGAAAGTTTGGATGTATGGATGTATGGATGGATGTATGGATGTATGGATGTATGTTTGTGACAAGTGAACGCGAAAAATACTGGTCGGATTGGGCTGAAATTTGGCATGATGATAGCTCACATTCCCGATTAACATATATTCTTATTTCAAAAATCCTTTCGGGCTCCGCCCCAGTGGCTCTGGAGTTACCCATGTTAACCTTATGAGAAATGGAATTATTGAATATTAACAGCTGTTTCAATTAAACAAGTTGGTTCTGTTCTATGATGTTCAATAGCATTAAAGTTACAAGGATTACCAACAGGGTGCAGCACTATTATTTCTTTTACATTTATGACAACAGCTAATTTGCAACCAAAAGGTGAGTGAGCGTAGCGAACGAACTTCAACCTGGAGGCAAGTAAGCGTAGCGAACGAGCTAACCTGAAGGCAAGTGAGCGCAGCGAACGAGCTCCAACCTAAAGGTGAGTGAGCGTAGCGAACAAACTTCAACTAGGACGTGATTGAGCCATGCGAACGAGATAATCTTGAAAATTAAGAAGTTAAACGGGGCAAAGCCCGCGGGTTACAGCTAGTACGTATATACAACTGAAATACATCAACATACAAATTGCCCACCTCTGGACATGGCTGTCAACCACAGACACTGGAGTTTGGTTGCCAACTTGTTGCTAACTTTTGATTGAATCAATAGAGAACACTACAAGTGCCAAGTTGACCAATACAAGCTTCACCTGGCTCAGCTTCTGTTTAGAAATGTTTCCTTGCAAACAAATTCCAACATCTATTTACTGTCTATCTATGTGTTTTTTAACGTTTCTACAGAAGATTTAGCGTACCGGTACCTAAGATTTTATTTGTACAATCTTAGGGACTAGAGTGAATTGAACCTAGCTGGTTCTGGCTCTCTAACACCCATCGGTTCTCTAAAGTCTTATGTTTTGCAATAAATAATACTACAGTTGAAAAAATACAATATACAAAATTAGTTTTTATGAATATTATTCAAACTTCAGATGATTTTATTCGGAGATCATCTTCTATATAATCGTTGATGATCTAAAGTTAGTTGGCAAATGTATAATCTTGGCCCAATAGAATAAACTTTCAATGACAACGCACATCTATTGGTTTTAACAAATGTTTTATCCGAGGAATAAAATTAAACAACTTGAGATGTAAAGCATCTCATGAATTTTCAAAATTTAATTTTAAATTTAACTATTGTGACCCATTTAAGTGTGACTTAATAGTAATACTTTAACAGATATTTTTCCCCGGAAGATTAAAACCGACAACTTGAGGAGGTGCTTAATTAAAACGGAGTGATTAAGAAGGAGTCGGAGAGGGAGGGCGGGGGTAAGCTCTTTAGTTGATTGAAGCTGTCTGTTATTTGGACAACTCTTAAGTCTCTGATTGCCATCATTGTTGAATTTACTTTAACTGAAATGTTTCCATTGAGGCAAGTTACTCGCGATTCTCTGGTTTGGTCTAATCCATTCGATTCTTAGCTATATTATCTGTCTTAACATGGTTGTAGAAGACAGTGTTGCAGAATATATACCGATGAGGGGTTGTTCATGTATACGTAACCTACTTTGATACTACCCAATGATGTTGTATTCAACTGTTTGGTTCTCAATCTACCGCTAAGAAAGCTTTACAGCATAGTTTTTGTATTGTTTTTCAGGCTGTGTATGAATGCAAATCATAGCGAGATGGCTTGTGTAGATTTCTTACCGGTCAGTTGGGCTACCGGGTAGACAGAGCCACCAACTCATAGTGAACATGAAATTAGACACGTATCATACATATTGTATGTTACAGTTCTACAGTAGTGTTCACTATTCTGAATAAATTATTTACATTTGCTGCTTGAAAAATTGCTGATTTCTCATTGGCTGATTAATCGCTCATGATAATTGATCAAAGTGTAAATGAGATCAATATATTTACTCTTAAAACTGTAAATGATGAAGTAGACTCAACGATATACCCTTATAAACTATACATTATACCATAGATCCATAATACGGTACTCTCTCATATATGTTTATTGTTTACAGGTGCTTATTGGTAATGAGAGACAAGACTGTCCACTGCCTGTGATATTCACAGAAGAGGAATATGAGCAGCTGACTGAGGCTGCCAAACAGCTGAATTTGGAGGTTAACCTGGTTCACCAGTGTTACCAACAAGATGGCAGCAAATATCAGCTGGTTAAGGACAAGTAAGTTCAATTATGGACTACACTAAAGGTAATGAACAATCTCCATAAATAAGGAGCTTTCACTTCTTTAATATATAAGGACTCATTTTTAACATTTTTTCACTTTTTTAGCCACTCTGAACTGTCAGAAGTGTTCAGCAAAACATTCAACATCCTGCGAGCAGTAGCACAGGAGTTGGCGTCCAGAAGTCCACCGGTTATGTTCCCACAGTTGCTGAGGTCTGCCGTAGAACATCAGTTTCACACAGCTTTAGGTCAGCCAATATACATGTGTAATCTGTTTTAGCAAGTATGTCTGTGTCTCATCTAAGAATGATGGCCCAAGCAAAAACTAACCAATTTGATGAAATTCTGTATCAGCTTATGAGTTTGCAGCCCATCTTAATCTCTTAGGGAGAGGGAGTTTGTGGTTTGATTCCAAGGAGGATTCTCCAAAAAAGTTTTTTTTTTGTTTCCTCCAAAGTAAAAAATAAATTTAATTGTTCGGGCATGATGACAACTAAAGTTTGTTTTGGAATGCTCATGCTTCATGTTCATGACACTAAGGCAATTATTTTAGTGATAAAATCCCACAAAACTGTCTAAAAGATTATAAAATTCAACTCATTCAGCACATAGCTAAAAGAGTCCATGGTATATGTTTCAACTCTTTGAACCTCAATAGCTATAATCTCTTAATCACTTCACTTAGTGAGCATAATACCTGATATCTGATGTCATAGTGAATAAATACATAAATACAGTGTGAGTGTATTGTAATGGAATGAGTTTTGCTAGGTACTCACTAAGACAAGCTGTTTCCATAGCCAAGTAGTTTCAAAACATCAAAAAGGCTACTGACTTTTTTTTCAGGATCAAACCGGGTGTTCTCCTAACTGTTAGACGTGCTATACCCCCCCAGGTACCCAAGTATAAACCCCTTCTACAATATTTACTACGGACAGTATTTTCAAGTTTTGTAGTGAACTTTCATTTTCAATTAATAGAGTTTTAATAACTTGAAATGTTGTTCCAGAACTTGATCCAGAACACATAGTTGCTGTGGTGAGAGAGTTTACAGACTGTCCTGAACCAAGAGATCAAGCGCTCAATGATTTCAAACAACTTGTTGTTTCATCTTTACCAGAAGAAAACGTACTTCAGTTTGTGTAAGTGGTAGTTTTTTGTCAAAATCTGTATGTTTTTAAATGTTAATGCCTGATTTAATTTAAGAAGTAAATCAAGAGCATCAGTTCTGCATATCAAGAGCATCAGATCTGCATATCAAGAGCATCAGTTCTGCATATAAGAGTATCCGCATATGTCTAAGCTCAACAAGCATCCTATAACCTGATTAGTCAGGAAAGAACATGCCTAATATTCTTAATTCTAATACTAATAATTCTTTTTAGGTAACCGTTTACATTGTGTAGGAAATTTCAGTTCAAACTTTTGCTGTAAAATTTGTTTTAAAGTGTGTAAAATTTAACTTACCAAATCTTGCTGTAAAAATTGATTAACTTTTTTATATGGCTACTTTACCCTACCCTGAGTGTTTTACATACCGTATTCCTTGTTGATCTTTGAGGTACAAAGGCGAAACCTTAATTGTTGTGTGAAATGCATACATGGATGGAACCATAGTCAATGATGGAACTAGTTAAGCTACGTAGCCTTGCTATTTTGTTGTAGTGTTCCGTGGAAGAACAGTGGGATTGACACAGAATGGCCGGAACATGATACTTATCTTAGTGATTTCCAAGACGTCGCTTCGTCCACACTTCAAGGACTTGTAAATAGAAGTATTGAGGAGAAGCCAGAAATCAATGCCAAAACTAAGCAAATACAGGTAAAACATTAATTCCATATAATGGTTTGATCCACCATCTAGGTTTAACCTTCCCAAATTTTTCTTCAGGATAATCCATCATGGATCAATTTAAGTGGAATGGAATGGCGTTCCAGGATATCTTTCAACATTTCTTTTGTTTTACCTTTATTAAGAAAACATTCAAACAATAATTATAATATTAATGCTGTATTAAGCTTTCATTGCTTTCATTCTATTTTTTCCTATATTACTCTGTTTTGTTATGATGAACAAGACATTATCCATACAATGGAAATATTAAGAGAGGATGAATTAGATAACAGTCAGTTTATATCTTCCTCATAACCCACAATTAAATCAAGTACAGCTGTCGGCTAGTACCTATAAACACCTCCTTAGCTTTTAAATATTTTTTCTGTAGATTTACAAGAATGATTGAATTTACTTACTCCTTTGAGCAAAACAAATCCTTCCCTCTTGACAGTCAGGCTTGTTTTAGGTACAATTTTTGGTAGTTTACTATGGTTTTTTTATGCACCATCTATCACAGGAATTAGGTCTTTCACATAATACAGAATAACTTTGGTATTCATTTTGTCTTGCGACAGCTGATACATTATTAAGTGGTGTCATTAGTTTAAAGTAAACATACCGGTGGATACTAATTGTTGTACAAATCCTAGGAAGTGTTCAAAGAAGCCCTGTTCCACCTGGCGCTATGTCACCAGTACACATCAGGCCGGCTACATACGGTAGACTGGCACGGGACTCCAACACTAGACCACATCAGAGGCCTGATGACTGGCGCGACGGCACGACACGGCCCGATTCTACTACAGGGAGGATACGGCGCCGGCAAGACATCACTGCTTACTACCATCTACACAGACTGCGAACAGTGGTTCGGCCAGAAAGTTATGAAGGTCAGTATATGTGAAACATAATTGGAAAGTTGAGGATAAATAATGTAGAAAAATATGGAAATTATTTTCTTAAATGCTAAAACTTATGTAAGTTTTATAAAAATATATTTTATTCTTCACATAACAGCTTTTGATAAAAATAGGAAGGAAAATCCATAAAGTCATAAAAACAAAGTTTCAGAATGTCAAGCAACAGAAAACATCCATCCAATATATTTAATGGATTCAACTCAGTAATCTGGTCAAATGAATTCAATTTCAGCTGACTACATCTCTTTCTTTAATGTAGTAAAACATTATTTTTAGTGATTGTAGTGTGGGCAATCTAAAAAGCAGTAGGCCTATTTAAAACTTAACTAATAATATTATGTTAAATTACCAAGTGGCTGATGAAGTTTTTGTAAAGGGGTTGAGTTTACCTGAAAAAGTGTTAGTCCATGAATAAATTTACACCAAAAAAATCTCTAAACATGACACTAATGGTTCCTCCTAATGTAGGATACCAAAGAGCAGATTCCATCCCGATTTTTATTGGAGGATCGGATCAAGAATCAATGCTTTATTTTGTAACTTTTTTGTACCTATATCTCTTCGCCGCTGGACTCTAACTATCCTAGGTACCGTAAACTAACTGGGAGAAACTAAATCCTTTCTTATAAAAATCATCATTTTAGATAATTGTTTACTTTCCTATATTAACAACTAAGTTTACATTTTTAATACTTGAGTTTTTAGCATAACTATATACATAATTTATGTGCCAAGGTTCTATTAGTGGGCATCCATCCTATAAAGTGTAGATACAGTAATAAGGTTAAATTGTTGTGATCCTTAACTCTAGGTTCTGAGGTTTGATTTAGTTGGGACTTGGGTGTTGAAGTATGGTGGTATTGCCATTATAAGTGCTGCTTGTCTCAGTGTATCCTTGTTCTAGGTGCTAAAGTTCTTAGAGTACGTATTCATAATGTTGTAAGTGCTGAGATTCTGTAGTGCGTTCTGCCTGTTATAGGTGCTGAAATACAAGTTTATTCATGGCTTATGTGCTTACTAGTAAGTTTGTGTGTATTAATTTTGCAGGTTTAGTGGTCCTCTAGATGCCAAAATGAATGTTTATTTGTATCCCTAGTGGAAGACATCAATAGAAATCAATAGAAAAAATCTATTGATATCACTAGATGCTTAGTGATATCAATAGATGTTCATGGATATCATTACAAGTAAATACAAACAAATAGACATCACTGAAAACTTAGTCAATACATATCACTAGACATCTATAAACATAAAATATATCAATATAGATCATTAGGGCAAACAAATCGTTCATTGATATCAATAGAGAATATTTTTTAAATATGTTAGATGTAAATATAAATCAATAGACATCAATACGGGTAAATAAAATGCAAAGTATCTCTAAAATGTATCACATATGAACATTATGGATTATACAAAATACCAATGTTAACTTTGTGAAATTAACAGTAATAAAAATGTTATTTTTTAAAAAAAGGAAAAACTCTAGTTCTAGGTCATAGGCGTTAGCTGAAGTACCTAAAACTCAATATAGGTAATTTAAAAATACCTATATAATTTTAAAATTGTTGTAAAACAGTTTACAACTTGTATTAAAACTGATTTTCTTAATCTTCAAAAAAGTGGTTGTAAAACAATTTTTGTAAAACAGTTACAGCTTGTATTGAAACTTATTTTTTCAACTCCAAAAAACTTATTAAATTAAAACTTATTAAATTTTTTCAATCTTATATCAAAATTGTTGTAATATGAAGTTTAAATCAAAATGTTTTAAAATTGTTATACAACAATTATTTTAATACAGCTTTCGACAACTTTTAACAATTTTTTTGCTTATTGCGGGGTTATCGTTAGGGATAAAAATCCCTCACAAATTCATTATTGAATTCCTTATTTCTAGAAATCAAAAAAATAAATTGTATTGACACTATTCATATCACCCAAGTAGCATGAAAACAGTTTTAACTGGTGATAAAACAGTTTTGAAACATGTTAAAGCATATACATGGTTGAAATGACACACATGCCATTGAAACATCTTTTAGTTAAATTGTGACGCCTAATACAGCTTCTCCCATTCAAAATAGCTATCATTACTCGATATGACATGAAGCGTCCGTGGTGAAATGGCTAAGACTACCAGCTTCCATACTGGAGTCCCCGGTTCAAATCTCGGGAACCCAGTAAACTTTTTACTAAGAATTTTTTTACTTTTTAATTTTTATTTTATTTTTAGTGCATAGTTGATATTATTTAATGTTTTGAAACAAATTAAAAATTGTTTTTTAACAAGCTACAAATTATTTTCAAATAAGCTAATGACTCGGATTCTATTTACTTGTATTGATATGTATTGATGTGTATTGATGTGTATTGGCCCAAATACACATACGTATCAATATACAATTTTTGTATTGATATATATTGATCTCTTTAGGGATTCTACTAGTAGTACTATATAGTGTGAGTGTATCTCTATGTTCTAGGTACTGAGGTTCTCAGGAATCACTCCACGCTCCTCGTATAACCTGGAGCTGTTGAGGATCATCTGTGAACAGCTGTGTTTGCTGCTGCAGCCGTCGCAGTCTTCTGTCTGTGTACCTCAGGATGCCAGCTTTGATCCACTTTACGTCAACAACTGGTTTCAGACACTCATTAGAAGGTAAATTAGTTGAAACAGGTTTGTTTTTGTGCTTTTACCCTTGATAGTGATCACTTTTGATAATTGATATCAGGATGTATTGGAAACCAAGTAGTCATAAGCTATTTTCATATTTAGGAAAGTGGTAAGTAATGTCAACCCCCAAACACTCTGGCTGGTAACTTAAAGGAAGTGCCTTTATAGAGAAGAAAAGTATAGACAGTGATTTTATTGGTTGTTAGTACTGGCACTTTTATACTACTTGATTACTCCTACTCTACCTGGCTGTAAGTACCCTGTTTTATTAGCCATTACAGGATACAAATCTGTTAAGGATATGGAATATAATAAGACAATAAGGTAGCAAAAACTGTATGGACAAAAATATTCTCTACCTAGCAATAATAATTGATTACAAGCTTAAAAACATATTAAACAACCAAGAACCCTACAGATTTGACGAGGAGTCACCCGAACGAGAGTCTGGGGAGAGTCACTTGCTGGTGATCTTGATAGATGACATTCACCGCCTCAACCCGCTGGACTCGGACATTGTAGCGGCGTTGTCATGGCTACCGACCAACCTGCCGAGGAACGTACACATCATCGGCACAACGCACACGTCACCTGAGATACTCAAACTGACTCCTGTGCAGCGGGAGAGATTCAAACAACCAGAATGCTACATAGAACTACCAGCTGTCACAGGTACCAATGTTGTCATTATGATACTAATTGACAAAACTTACGAAGAATTTGAGATAAATTTGTATCAGAATACTTCATATTTCACCCCCTAACTTTTATTGCTTTTACCTGTATAAAGGGCCAGGATTTATAGTCTTATTTATAAATCACGATGCATTCATGATTTTTTTTTAAATTGTAGTCTCAGTCTGAAACCCAAAATATGAGTTCAACAAATGTATACCGTCATTATAGTTACTAAGATTTTTGTTATTCTTACCATCTGTGAGTTCAGAAGTTATAATTAAGGAACGCGGCAGCGTTCCGCCCCGCCAAGTCCCCCAGCGGTACACAGCTGCTGCAGTGTATATATACTTGACGTGACAAAGTGGCTTTTTCACTCGTCTATAGCTCTGAAGAAACAAAAGCTATTAAAATAATTGTTCATCTATTGGATAGGGGCACTCATCCTCAACAAAATAAAAAAAAGAATTTAAAAAACTGTTGTGTTTGAGCCAAGAAAAACTAGTTTGAAAATTCACAAATTTTCCGTGTTCTCCTTCTCCTCCTTCTCCTTCTCCTTGAATGTTGACGGACCTACAGCCCAAACCACTGGCTCAATTTTAATGTTCTTTATGTTGTTTGAAAGCCCTTAACGTGTAGATGTGCCTTTTGAGGGTCTCAAGTCGGTGAGTTGAACCATAAACCCTTGGCAAGCCCTCAAAGTACGATTTTGGCCCATTTAAATAACATGGGATTAAAATCAAAACAAAAGAAGGACCAGCTGCGATTAAATCTCAATTAATTTAAATGTTAGAGAAATTCATAGGAACAGCTGAAAAATTATTTTAAAACTTTCATAAAGTATTTTTTCAGGTATACCGAATGATTTGAACTACTTACTATATAAAATTACTTAGAGCAGTGATATTCCCCGATACTTTCCATTGAAAAATGCAGTGTACCGATGGTACACTGGTACAGCAGTTCGTCATTTTTAACAGTTTAATACTACTTATCAAAACATATGAAACCTAGTAACTTGAAACTTAGTACTAGTACTAAGGTTTGTTTTATGTTTTGATACACTAAAACAAATAAAAGAATCGGGAAAGTCACTTTACGTATGTTAAACCAGCAATTAAAATGTAAATATAGGATTAATTAGTTTTTCAATATTCGTTTTGCCTTATGCTATTTCCAACAAACCTTAACTGTTTGATTACATTTTTACTTCTATAATAAGGGCTCAATTTACACTAGTCTTTAGATATACGGGTTTAATTATCAGAACACTTATGTAACACCAACGCATTTTATGTTGTTCAAGATGAACATTGCTGAATTTACAGCCCCAGACACAGAACCTATATTAATGGATGATGACTAGATTATACAGTTTCAAAGTGTGTGTTTAGTTTAAAATAAACATATTCTTGACAAAATCATAAATAGAAACAACCACCCTGTTGACTATACGTTTAACACATGTTTTCAAAAACTTCCAACGTAGCAATTTTTGTTAAATAGTAATTTTGGTAGGTGTGTCAAAAAGTTTTTAATTGGTTTATAGCAGATAAGACCAAAAAATGTAGAATTTAGTTCTACACAAACAATATTATTGAAATGAAATGAGATGTAGTTGTGCCGTGGTCTATATATTTCACCCAAACTATTTATAACCATTTTTAATTACCAGCTGTAAATAAAAAAAATTTGATGTCTTGTTTATTTTTACAAAAAGAGCAGCATTGTTTATGTTTAGTGAAGAGATCTAGTTCAAGAACATTGAGATGATTGAGAACATTTCTTAGGATCATTTGGTAAGATACCACGTCCATGTTTTAATTGCATTTACTTTCTTTCTAATCTAACATCAGTATGCCTTCTAAAGAAAGACTGGCAAGAAAAAGAAAACAAGAATGGTATTTAGAAAACGCCCCTGCTATAAAAAAAAGAAAAACAGAAGAAGCTAGCATACAATCCACTAATAAGAGTTCTACTTCTAAAGCTTGGTACCTTGAACATGTTAAAGGAGAAAAATCCAAAGCCAGAAAACGTTATCTAGCTAATATTGAAACTGAGAGGTTAAGAAAAAGTGTGCAGTACAGTGCTAATCCTGAACCTCACAGAGCTAGGTTGCGGCAGCAATATTCTGCTAATCCTGAGCCACACAAGGCTAGGAAGCGTCAGCAGTATTCTACTGATCCTGAGCCACACAAGACTAGAGTGCGTCAGCAGTATTCTACTGATCCTGAGCCACACAAGGCTAGGAAGCGTCAGCAGTATTCTACTGATCCTGAGCCACACAAGACTAGGAAGCGTCAGCAGTATTCTACTGATCCTGAGCCACACAAGGCTAGAGTGCGTCAGAAATACTCTACTGATCCAGAATATTATAAAGCTAAACAACGTTTAAACTACGGTGCAAAACAAGAAATGAAACAATCTAATCGCAGGAGACGTTACAAAGTACTTTGTGCAAAACACCCTGGCCACTTTCGCTTGCGATATAAACTTAAGGTTTTTCACGAAAGGGTGCGAAAGTGTGCAGCCTATCAAAGCAGACGCTTTTTTTTTAGAAATAGATCTGATGGGAAAAGAAAATCATTACAAAATGCAAAAAGGAAAATTAAAAAAACTGTTGCAGCTTCACATATTTTCTTGGGGAAAATAAATTGTGAGAAAATAGCCAGACTTATAGCAAAGAAAATACTTGAGCAAGGTTATACTAAAAGGTTGCTAAGGGCTAAAGAGCTCTTGAAATGGGTGTTGCATGCTTATAAAAATTACAAAAACAATTTCCTTAAGCTATTTGTTAGCCTGCAAAATCGTGCTAAAGAGTCTCTTGCTAAGCTATCTGCAACAAGCACGTTTGAAGACAATGTTGAGGCGTTGTGTGGGCACAGTCTTCATGTTTCCACGTCGGAGCCTTATTTGTGGGAGTTTACGTATAGAGTGTTTCCTGGTAAACAAATAACTGTTGGTAATGAGCCCAGCACAGCTCATAGTTCTCCAAAGAAACAGTGGAAATGCAACTCAGATATGTGCTTCATTGAGCCTGACCACTTAGAGCAACTTAAATCTCTTTACAATGAAATAGTTGCCAGCTCTCTCACTAAAGGTTCTAAGCTTATTGTCAGCATGGGAGAGCACTCATGTCAAAGTGGTGTATCATCTCGTGTAGGTGTTCATCCTCACTCTTTGGACTGTTACTCAGGAGCATGTGTTTCGAAACTTCCTTTTCTGAGAACAATCTATCCTCACTTTCCTGCAATTCGTAGTCTTGTCTCCAAAATTTACCGACTGTTGAAAATAACTAAGAAGATTATGCTAATTAAAAATGGTATTCTTAACGTGCAGGTGAACGTGTTGTTTTCGATAGAAAGGGAATTTAAAGAGCAAACAAAAGCCTTTCTTACAGATCACACAAGTGAAAGCAAGGTCCCTGAATCTGAGTCTCAGTTGTTCGAAAAATATCAAAAAGCATTTGAGGCATTGGAGAAGCGTTCTTCTGAAACGCCAGTGTTTCCCTGTGTCTCATGCGATAAGTTGTTTAGTAAGCAGCAAGTAAGCCTTTTGAAAAACCTAAAAAATCAAATTGTAGGACACATATGGAAAAGAATAAAAGACATAAAGAAAGAAGAGTGCAAAACAGGATGGATTTGTCGGGGCTGCCTCGAAAAACTAAGGAAAGGTCAGATGCCTCCTACTTGCATTCTTAACGATCTCTATGTTTGTGCGCAGCCGAAAGAGCTAACTTGCCTTAACAGTTATGAAAAAGTTTTAATTCAGAGAGCCAAAGCATTTCAGGTTGTTACAAAAATGAACACAGTTGGGAAAAGAACAAGTCGAGCTCAGCAACAAATTTCTAAAGTCGTTGGAAGAAGTTTTCATTTGCCACTACCCCTTCAAGAAACCCTGCAAAAATTGCCCAAACCAAGTGACCCTCTGAATCCAAACCACGAGCTGTACGTTTTGGTCAGAGGGGTACCGACCAAAGCAAAGAAAGTTTGGCAAATGTTGGTTAGTGTGGATAAGGTACACGCAGCCTTAATTTTCTTAAAGAAAAACAACGCTCATTATGGTAGCATCGTACTACCTACAGATCCAGAAGGACTCTTCAACCTTAATGATGACACAAATTTGTTTCAATCTACCCATCAAAACGAACTGCCACCTCAGGAAATACTACATAGACGTGCTATATTAACTCAGGTAACTCACGAGGAATGGGATTCAGAAGAGTCTCACTATACAATCCACGCTCTTCATGAGTCAAAATCTTATAGTGATGACACCGAGCTCTATAAGATGCTGAAAGTGAATGAACCTCCGATTAGTCATGAAAACAAAGAGATTGACGTGCTTTGTTTCCCTGATTTGTATCCCGAAGGTAAATTTGGCCAGTTTCATTCCAGAGAAACCAAACTCAATTCTGCTGAATTTATCAAATGTCGGTTGCTTTCAAAGCATTCTCAGTTCAGACTGAATCAGCAGTACCTTTTTTATTTGCTGCACGATGCAAACCTTCGGCAGTTAAGACAAGGAGTATTCCACAAGCTCAACGTCACTGGATTCAGTGGCTCTCTTAGTGCTAGAGACTGTTTGAACAACCTTGCATCGGGAGAATTAGAGGGGAACCTGACATCAGTATTCTCCAAACTCAGGAACACTAGCCAGTACTGGATACAGCCTAGAAATGATGTGAATTGCATGGCCCAGCATTATGGACCAGCTACATGGTTTTTAACCATAAGCCCAAGCGATTGGAACTGGGATGACATGGCATTGTTCATTAGGGAAGTAAACCGGAGTGTTCCAGGCGCAGAAAAAAAACAAACTAGTGAACTTGTGGCTATGGATCCTATCAGTGCGTCAAGGTTTATCCATATAAAGTTCAAGGCAATGTTGGATTTTATTGTCTCTGATGCTGCTCCTTTAGGAAAAGTAAGTCACTACTTCTACAGGCGAGAATACCAAAGCAGAGGTCTCCAACATTTCCATCTTCTTCTGTGGGT